CCCCCCCCCCCCCCCCCCCCCCACCCTCCCTACCACATATTTTGACTTTCCACGGAAGCTAAATAATGAATAAATGAGTTGGGATCAAATATGCCGTAATTTCGATTGTCCGATATGCTAAACAGTAATTATTTTAGATACAGTTACGCGTTCTTTTTACAAAAATTGCGTGTATATAAGAGAAAATAATATACCATTCATGATAATCTTATAGCCATGAAATGAAAAATTGAGATATAGCAACAGTCCGAATATCATCCTTGATTCTAAGTGAATCAAACCCAAAAAAGCCTATTTCGGACATAGTAATAATCTTAACTAAAATTTAAATATTAAAAGTCCTCCATCAAGTTTATGCCTTTTAGACCAACTTTTACTGCATTTCCCCTTATTTCCACAGGCGACTTCGTTGCCAGGTCATAAGATTTTGAAATGACAGAGCCCACTAGGGTTCCCTCAATGCACATACAAAGCATTTAAATGAGTCAGTTGGCCGGAACGGATAAAAAACTCTTTCATCGATTTTAATTTTGGAACACGAAGCAACAAGCTGAGAAAACCATTTGTTCGGCTCTTGAGCTTCTCAAACATAACTCCCATCTTCAACTGGATAATTTGTTGTTTATGTATGGATAAAAAATAGTATTTCTTTCGCCAAACAAATAGCAACTACTTACGTAAAAGTGTCAATGTTATCAACCAATCAAAACCCTCAACTCATACAATTTGTTTCCCAAATCGAATTTGACTTTAGCGCATGGTCACATGGAACTAGTGGATGAGGAAAATTATTTGAACACCATGTGAGTAACGATTAACTTACTCTCTTCAAATTTAGTTCCCATCGGCACACATACCATAATAAGAATATTCAACAGCCGTGATCAAGCCTGTCTAATAATAATAAAGGAGGTGGCAAAATGCACCCCTTCCACTACAATCGAGATGGACCTTGATAAATGCTTTCTTAAAAAAGGGCGTAATGTTTGTTCAATCGACTAACTAAGGAGAAGCCATCAATTCAAACTTTAAGATATGAATTTTAAATTTAATAAACGAAAATACATTGTCATTTATGCACTTAAAATAGGGTAAAGTAGAGCAGACTCACTTTAAATGGTTTTCGCTTCATTGCAAGATCGGTGTCGTCTTTCAAGCTCGAACCATGAACCGAGAAATGCGATTCGACTAGATTTATAATCTTCTCAGGTTCTGGAATAGATCTGTAATGGCCGCCGTCATTGCACTGAGAGAACATATGAGAGCCGAAAAAAGATTAGGAAAAGATTTCTCCCTAATTAAAAATTTAGCTGAACTGATATTCAAAAACCACGTATACAGGAATTCCAATTAAAAAACATTAATTTTCATGAAAAATTAAAATTAAGTGACTGGATTTTAAGTACAATGAGACATCAATTTATGTAACTGAAATCCAAAAATACCATTGAAGTTAACTACAAGAGATCGTCTTCTTTTGAGGGAAATGCATAATGATTATGGAGCATTAAAACAAACCAAACAGCAGAAAGTCTTCAATGATGCTATTATGATAGTAAAATTTAAAAGTTAACAAAGAAGATATTGATTAGACTTGCTCAATGATTTGTGCAATATTGCGACCAGTTTTTCGGTTTTTTTTCGAAAAAGACATCGTCCTTGATAATGTTGAAACCACATTAACAAAGTCAGAGAAAACACAGGTTAAACAATTTTGCACGCGTAAGGTTTGTAAGTATGATCTCGGAAATCTGAGTTCAACGATGTGCTTTAGATGAGATATGCAAAATGAAAACTACAACTATGTTTTTTAACCGGTAAAGAAATAAATAATATGCCAAACTCTTGTCAAAAAGAGGAGTGGCAGAATGTGAATTTATCACAGGAACAGCTACAGGATAACTTTCCTTTACACAAGCTAACAATGTTTCAACGGTATGGCATAGAACATGGTAGAGGAAATGTTTTAAATTCAATAATCATAAAAAGGCATGGAAAAGATAATTAGAAAATCATATATATGGAAATGAAATTCTAACTTACGGGATCTAGAGCAGATTTTGGTACAGTTGGTCTATAAAAGAAATTGTTCACATTTTCCTTAATTGCATTCGATATATGGAACAGGTGAAACGATTATTCGGTTAGTAAGAATTTACTCTGATAATTTGAGAGCAGGATGTGAATCCCGCATATGTTCCAACTGATTCAAAGCATCTTGGGTTGACTGAAATGAAAAAAATGGAAATTAAATTGCAAGTTGGTGGTCAATGGAGCATTATTAGAACAGAGAAAGAAGGATTACTTTAACTACTGCAGACGATGATTCTCGCATTTTTTGGTAGTATTGTACCATATAATCATAAATTCTCGCTTCAATGCTATACAGATTTCATTAACGTATTAATAAATTTAAAATACTCCGAAATTTCTTTTGGTATTTGCTGTTGAAGACGTGCAACTCGCTGAGATAAATCTTTTTGAGATAAATCCATTTGTCTCTCTGCCTAAAAGAAAAGAAACTAATATGTAAAATAATTCATACATTTGGCCTTCTTGGGTCGTTTGGTCTTTCAGAAAACTTCTTATGAACAAAGTAATTCTGTCGCTCTTTGTCTGCATCTTTCAATTCTTTCTATAAAAGTCATGGATTAAAATTGTTTCCAAGTTGAAAAACCAAGCTTTGTTTCAGCTTCGTCTTCATATCTTCAAAATCCTCCTTAGACTTCTCAAAGGAATATAGTTTTGTACCCTAAAAAGGTCATTAGTAAAAAAAGACAAACTCCAGTAAAATTATCGTTTTGTGCAACTCCACAGGAAGCCATTAGTGCTTTTTCGAAAGAATTACATGCGGCAGTAGCTTCTAGAATGCAACGACAAAATTAAAATAAGTATAAAAAGGCGACAAACCCCTGGATTTTTCTTCGAATATTTTACATGATTTTGCAAAATGTTCCAAATTAGTCTAAAAAATAGATTTGCCAAAAAATGATACTAGCACCTACCAATTGCTTTTTTACTTCGTCGGTAAGCGTATCAATCTCGCCGAAAGAGCCGTCATTATTACTTTTCCTACCGATCCTGAACTTAAAAAATACGTGAATAACGTAACAAAAGAACTCTACTCTTTGTCTGGCTCTGATAAATGGAACTTGGAATTTGTATCTATGACTATCGGGGATCGCAAGAGCTTGATCGCTCATTAGTGTCTGCAAATGGTAAAACTTTTTCCTGTTTGAATAAAAAGCAATATAAGTTCATTAAGAAAAGTAAATAACAAAACAATATAACCAAATCTTATAGAGAGCTTTATTTATAGCACTATTGCTGAGAATTTGTATTTCTATGCGTGCATTAAAATAGTGCGCATAACTATTTAATACTTTGCGCACAGGTAATTTTAGGTAACTTAATTGTAATGAACCATATTTTTTCTCAAATTTGAACACTCCAAACGAACCCACTCACCTAATGCAAGGCCACGCTTATAATACCGCCAATATCTTGCTGTTATCGGAATCTTCAAAATAACGAATTATAGTAATTTATTTCAATGAAAACGAAATGTTTAAAGACGCCTTTCTAACTATTCCTTTTAAAATTATGGGCAAATTTGTTTTCTAAAAACTTTTATTGATTACCTAAAGAAAACAATCCTCAATACTTTTGATGAAATGCATAATATGAACACAAAATCAAAATGACTAATATTTTTAGTATAAAACTATTTATTAGAAATTTAAAGTTATAGTGTGTTTGCTTGCGTCCATTAAACATGAAATATTAACTTAGCTTCATTATTGAATTTACACTTGATAACTAAAAATGTACGTTATAGTATTTCAGCGGATAGCTTCATAACTAAGTCTCTTGTTTTAGACTGACATCCACCATTCGCTACCATATCTCAATGATGGGAGGAAACAAATCACTAGTGCGTAATACTTCAATTTTATCTGCATTAACCATGCTAGTACTATTTATTGCCAATTTTTATGATAGGTCTCTGCACTTGTGATCTCATTTGCTCGATCGACAACACCTCCGCACTTTCTAGAATGTCCAAGTGCGCATGGGGTTCTTTGCTTCAGCTAAGCTCTTGATGTGTCTCAAAATATCATATTAAAAGCACTGCTTGTTTCTCTTTCAGAATTTCACTATCCTTTTAATCTATTCAAAGCTGCTTTAGAATATTTTGTTTAATATGTAATAGGTGAAAAATAAAACAAACGATTTATCTTTACTAACACCAGGCTTATAAAAATAACGCTATATTGAAATTTTCAGCAAAAGTACAACAATATGTAATAATATGTACTAATTTGAAAGCAATCCTTATAATCTTTTATTAAACCTTTGCAATGTTACTATATTTTCATGATAAGTCACACAACACACATATGTACATCTAATACATTGATGAGTACCGAATCCCAATTGCCAATTTTTTTATTATTACCTTTTATGTATTATTAAATAAGATTAGAAATAATAAGCATTGATAAGTGAGATCTGTAAATTTTACCATAGATAATACTGCCCCTAATAATAGGGGCTTGAAATTAAGATCAGCTTTTGAAGATTACCACAAATCTTATGATCTGTTTATATTAATAAGTCGAATTCGATTAATTACAAGTTATATCCAGACAGAAGAAATATGCTGATTTATTTTCAAATGACTCAACTTTTCTTATACTTTTCTATTGCAAGACTATTTGCGTTCATAAAATATGACTATTGCAATAATTATTCATTTTAATCCCATCACCATGCTAATCATACTCCATAGAAATAAATCTCAGGCAGACTCCATTGTTAGAAAATTTTAAATGGCTTGTGCCTCCAAAGCATTGATAAAGGGTTCATTATTATTCGGGTAGTTTATTCAGTTAATGGTCTATGCATTATTTGTCAACGCGTCAACCTCTCGCTCCCCATTCCTTTTCGACCTTGGAATCTCCACCTATCTGTGCACGTCGTGTCCATTCAACCATGTGGTAATTTTTCTGATGCAGTATTTTTATTCCACATTTATGGATAAAAGTAATATTTCAGTTGAATTGATCGTCTTACCTTCGGGATTTTAGTATTGGAAGCCAGTTAAATATCCTGTCTAGCAAATTACCTGTTATTGCCATTTGCGGAGCTACAGGCACTGGTAAATCAAAATTGGCTATTGAATTAGCTCGCCAACTTAACAGTGAAGTTATCAACGTCGATGCTGTTCAGCTCTATAGGGGTCTTGATATTGCCACGAATAAGGTAGTTAACTGAAGTTCAACTGGAGTCTAGTAAATTTTATACAATCTTCTTATATTTTTTGTAATGTAGGTAGTGCCTGAGGAAACTGAAGGCATTGTTCATCACTTGCTAGGCTGTCTGGATCCTATTGATGGTTTTTACTACAATGTACACCATTATAGACGGGATTGTTGCCGTTTGATAGAATTTCTTCGAGCACAAAACAAAGCTCCAATCCTTGTAGGTGGCACACACTACTATTTGGAGGCTGTCCTCTGGCGTGATTTTCTCCGAATTAGTGACGGACACCAGGATCGTATGGAATTTCATTCAGAATCTGATTCCAAAGTACCAAATCGTTCTTGGCCGCCAGAATTACTGTAAGATTTAGGTGATAACTCTAACCATTTTATTTAGTTATTTCTTAATATATCATAGTTTTTTCTATCTCTAGTGCTCAGCTGCCGCCTGATCCGAAGGATTACTATGCTACTTTAATGAATTTGGATCCGGTGTCCGCGTTGCGTCATCACCCAAATGATACTAGAAAGCTTCAGCAGGCAATTTTGACTCATTTTATGTGCAAGAATATTGATTCTGCTTCCCCGAAAAAAGCTTCGATATCATCCTCTCGTCGGAGTGAGCATCCCAGATATCCTCCTCCCGAAAGTTTAATCTTTTGGCTTGATGCTGATTCTGGAGTGCTTAAGCCGAAATTGGATGAACGAGTATCCGAAATGGTCAGTAGAGGTCTAGTTCGTGAGTTGGATGATTTTTTGACGATGGCTGCAAAATCCTTTCTACCAAATCAATCTGCAGTTAATTCAGATTCAAGTACGTTGAATATTCCCCGTCGATATCTACTGATTATAGTGATTGTTTGCCTTTTCTTGAATTTTAGGTGTTTCTACTGAAGAGAAAAAGGCGGTATTTCAGCTAGCCAATGCTGGTCTTCTGCCTTCAACTGGTACTGAACATTGGTGTCGAGGTGTTCTGCAGAGTATTGGGTTTAAAGAATTTGAAGAGTATTTGCAGCTCTCTCCAGCCGAAAGGGATTCTAAACACGGACAAGCTATGTTGGATGAAGCAATTGAAAGAATGAAAAATGCCACAAAACGATATTCCAAACGTCAGGTAAGAACTGTCGTTATCTCTTGAAACTTCCAATGTATATATTTATTACTGTTGATAATTAGGGTGTTAGAATCTGAGTTTCTCTGAAGATATGAGTGTAGAAACGCCTTCATTGAATATAGGCTGGGAAGTTATAAACTTTATTAGAACCACAGTGCCACTCGGTAAATAGGACGATGTAATTTTGTTGAGAGTGATTATTGACTAAGCGGAATAAGATGAGTGCACTATCTTTATCCATCTGGGACTGCTGTAAATGAGATTATTGAAGAATCAATGGAATTATAGATGCTACACTCATTTAATCGATTATTCAGTAATACAGTAACGGAATAAATCTCTTTTTGGAGGGTTATAATTAAGTTGTCTTCTTCCTTTTTTTACTTCCCAATATGAATTTATATTTACGCTAATAGGTGAAACAATGGTTGGTCACTTTTAGTATTGCAGTGGGATTTAGACTTGGTAGGTGTAGAACGGTAACCAAACGGTAGGATGATTTCTTATTTTAGCCGACTTGAAGTTAACTCCTAGTTTTATTGTTATTGAAACTTCACCACTGGTTGGGGGTTTGCATAAATTAGGATCTAAATTCACTTTTAGTTAACTAAAACCTTACACAAACAAGTTATTAATTGACTAAAAACAAGCTATAGAACTACCATCTGGTATTGAAGTGTTTCTTTTCGAACCAGTGGCCACTAACTCTTATTTTTTATTATATGAATATTATTAATTAGCTTTAATGTTTTTTGTTACACTAGGTTGGATGGATCAATAATCGATTTATTCGTCGACCTGCTACGGGCGGTATTCCCGTTTACCGAATAGATGTAACTCCCATCCTCACTGCTTCAACTTCTGAAATGGCCGATTCCCTTTGGACAAGTTGTGTTCTTGAACCCTGTCTAGCGACACTTCGTGGAGAGTGCAGCCCTCCTGCTCTTTCTCCTGAGCCTTTCGTTGAACCTAACCCTGAGCCCTCATCTGATTCCTCTTCTATTCCCCCTCCACCCTATATTTGCGCCTCGTGTAATGGAGCCATCTTTGTGAATTACTCCCAATTTCAAGATCATCTTAGTAGTCGTTCGCATAAAAAGCGTCTATCTTCGTTAAAGAAGCGGGCGACTAATGCAAACAGCATCTCATCTTTCAATAAACCAATTGAATAAACTCACTCACTTTTGCCTTTCCTAACATCCTGAGTTACGGTTTGTGAATTGCTTGTCTTTCTTTTAGAATGACCTTCCGGACTCGTTTCCAACGTTTTTTTATGCGAAAGTATGCCAGTCTCTTCATTAGTGCAGAGAGTCACTGGAATCAGCAATTCAGTGAGTACGTGAAGGATTACTCAATGTTCAAGTCAGGTATCAGCACAACATTTGCAGACTTGAGGCGATATTTGATTTTGACGATGTCTCGAGTGGTTACATCCGATACCCTACAGGATGGGGTAAGTGGTCTTGGGAGGAATGATCTGAGGATCATGCGGACTGTTCCAAGTGATTTAGCAAAACTAGCTCCCCTGCTATTTGTCGTTACTCTTCCTGGAACTGTTGCTGTACTGCCTATCTTGTAAGTTGTCACTTACTTCTTTATGATTAAATGTATTATTGATAGCGTGGTCTAAGTAGATCTTTATTTAGTAACAGAAAAGGCAAGTTAATAATATCACTGACAATGTTGCTGGCTTATCAACGTACTTGGGGTTTACACTAAATAAGAATGATCATTGACCAATATTTTTTACAAAAAAATAGGGGAAAGCACATCTGGTTCGCGATTTTTTCTATCCTACTATTTCCTCATTTTGTGCTAGTGGATGGCGTTTCTAAGTCCCCTGTTAGAGACTAAAATTCTACAACGCCTTATGTAAACCAGATTTCAGGTGCTTTTGGCCATTACGCTCAATGGTATCGAACCTACGACGAAGTCTTTCTAAAACTGTACTCAAAGTGGCTTATTGGTTCATCGAAGATATGATCCTGTTTGGAGAAATCAGGCTTTAATTTCCTCACTCTTAACTTATCTTGCTTCAGTTACGCTGAATTTAGATTGTATTTGTTAACTTACTATAACAATTTTAAACTGCTTTTTTATCAAAGGGAATGAAGGTATCAATTTACATTTAGTTTATAATAGAATTAGCGTATTGTTAAAATGTTCTATATTTGCTTGCCCGTTTTTTTTAGCAAAAATTTAAGAAGTTTGCTTAATCCCGTGTTATTATTGGCTGCTACCTGGGAGGCCAATAAAATCGCATCACAGATCGATTAAATAAATGCCATCTCAATACATCTGCCTCCCTTGGTGACCAAATGAATCTGGTTGGTTAAAATGCTTGAAATAATCAAGTTTTGAACTTCTTGCCAAAATCATCCAATTTAAGGATAGATTAACTCTCTTGAATGTAATTGTCTAAATTCTAGAATGGGGGGGGGGAGTTTAAAAGTTACGTGTTGATAATGATTCAAGGAGGAAAGCTTGTTGTAAAGCGAAATAACGCTGACAGGGTCTTGGCTTGTCTCAGTCTTCTCATTATCTGAGTATACGCTATTCCCGATATCTGGCCGTGGGTTTAGCCTTGGCAGCTAGTTTTATATGGGCTACGTGGCAAGTTGGGTACTTAAGTACAGGGTCTGTGGACCGATGGGGAAGCTGAGAATGGACTGTGGTCATGGTGATAAAATGATCACTCAACATTGCAGTATTAATATTTCTTTGCCTTATTTCCATCTTTCATATATCTTATGCACTTTTACTCTTTTTGGGATACCTTCCTTTCTATTGATTCCAATAAAGTTTTTGAGAATTCGATAGTGTCATACTGTAGTTACCTGATTTTGTTTGCTCTGGGCCATTGTCTACTGGGTGCCTATGGTCAAATCTGAACCTTGGCTTCACGCAAACATCTAGTTAACGATTCAGTCTACCTTACTTTTCATGATCTAGTTTCGCCTTTCCACACATATTCCTCACCCGGGTCTTTTGGAAGGAGGAGCAGCGACGGAAATTTGACGAGACTTCGTTGAGGAAGCGTCTTCTTGGTCCAAATCACGACCTCACTAAGTGTTTGACCAGACTTGCCGACCCGACAGTCAATCAAGTGAAGTGGAACGTTCGACGCATACGACGGAACATTGTTGTCATTGAGAACGGAGCCTACGACCGAAGTCTACTCAAATCGTTACTCGAAACGGTGAGTTTAAAATTTTTTCGCGAATATACTCCATTCATAAGGCATTTTCATGCATACTTAAATCTCTGTCATTTCGCTTTTGAGATTTTATTCCATTGTCTCTAATTGTTTAAAGACATGTGCGTTGGCCCTGAAACCACGAATGTACGGCGTGGCTTTCCACATAATTTGGTATCTTATGTTGTAATCTTTACTTTGAAAAATGAATACGCCTTCGTAAATAGAAGTAATGATGGCTGTTCCGTTTTGTTAACCCACTAATTTCCTTTCAGTTTGGAAGAACCTTTTAAGACTTTACGATTTCGTTTTCCTGGTTAAGCGGTTATATGATCATTCAAGACAATTTCCCTTTATAAATCAACTTTTTGTTTGGCTAATAAAGTGCTTTGGAATAACTGCATTTTGTCTTATCTCTCGGACTCTGAGTTACATGTGATCTGGCAGCTTAATCTTTGCTGCTATATGTGGACTTCCTACAGGGATGAAGAAGAAGCTTCAGTTGCCAGTGTCAATGCGGGATTGTGGCCAGCACTTGGTCAGTACTCACCAACCTACGATGGGGACCTACCATTTCTTTTTTGTGCCTGGTAATGGCTAATAATTGCCTTTGTCTCGCGACTTTAGTCACCTGCATGGCATATTTTCACCGTCGATTGTTTCTGCTATTTAAGCGATGCAACTATGACTTGTAATAATTTAATATTGCAAAGTGCTTGCTGTGTGTGTGTGTGTGTGTGTGCTGTAATTCGGCAATTGAGTTTCTCTTCGCCCTACTCATCTTTGAAGTAGCTTATATTCAAATGAATTTTTTTGTTTTTTTTTAAATTAATTATTCAGCCTTCTCCCCTGAAACCCAGACCATTTTATCTGCCTATAGAATATTTCGTCTTATTCCATTACCTCCTATCGCCTTTTCACTCTTGTGAATCTTTAAACCATCCTTTATTTAATATACTTTTTCCTATTTTCAGCTTGCAATAAATCAAATTCCCTCCGCAGTAGATTTGACGGATTTGATAGCTCTTTTTGATGGACCCCTCAATCTCAATGCGCTCGATCACCGTCATATTGTAAGTTCCTATTTGGAAAGCCCTAATGTAGTTCTAATTTCCGTTAGTCAGTGCAGTTTTTAGGCTTTGACTTATCCAGCTTACAACAACCCTTTCTTTAAGTTAAATGGGGTACAACGTGCGTATTGGTCAACTGGAGGTAAATTAGAGGAAGAGGGAATTGTGATCCGAAAGGGTAGAGATGAAGAGGTGCTATGTTAAATAGGGACTACTGAGGTGCGATAAGGGAATTTCGCATCCTTTGTTCTTTGATATGCAGTTATAAGTTATGCGCAAACTTCAGTTATCTGTTGGTTGCTTCGTCTTGGTTTTTAGAAATTCTCTGCCGTTCAATTCAGTGTTTCCCAGCACCCATTTTGTAACCAGTAATTTGTGGGCATTATTTTTTAAACATGAAGCTACTTCACCACTCCACCAAGATAAGCGTTGCATATTGTTTTTTTTTCCTTGCTTCCATTCTATCGTTGTTTTTCTACAAATTCAAGATCTATTGTATTCATTTAGTAGTATTTTTTGCTAGTAAGATCAGTTTAGTTTTCAATTTGAACCAACACAAAGCACTTTTGACGTAATCTCTCTGTTTATATGTGATAATTATATTTATTGTTATGATTTGGCCTTCTAGACTTTCCTTTGTGGACTCCATGGCCTAGTGTCCTATCGAAAACCTCTTCCTGGATCCATGGTCTACCGACACCCTTTTTTGGACCCAATTCTCTCTCCAGTTAACATCTCTTCAAGGTTAAATAAACTAGAGCAGCGAGCTAGAATTATTTGTGCTGAAGATCGAGATATGAATAATGATTTTCGAAAGAACAGTCCCATTCCCCATGAAGAAGTAAAAGATGTGAGTAAAATAAATATTGGTACTTAAGTGGCGTTAAGTAGACTGTAATTTATCTTTAAATATTTTAGTTATGCCTAACGCGTGGAATCAACTCTTATGCTTTTGGGTATGCTGATTTATTATCCCATCTTCGAAATTGGACGGAATTGAGTATTAAAGCCAGCGGTATGAGTCCATTTAAGACTTATTTTGCTTTGTTTAGATACGAGCCATAGTTATCGTCTACATTTGCCATTCCTGCTGAACTATAAGAAATATCTTTGATGACTTGGAAACGATTACCCACCTACTTTTGTATATTTTTGCAGATTTTCTGGTTAATAAAGAACCGATAGTACTTATTTGAGCATGTAGGTTCTGTTTTTTTATTTTAAAACTGTTCCAAGCAGAATATATTTCACTTACATCGTGGAACCGAAAATCTCTGTTCCGAAGCCTTTTTATCGTGTTATTTGCTTATTTCTTTCCCACGATACGACCATCGAAGTTTTGTAACTTTAAAACACATGGGATGAGTAGATACACTAATGGGTAATGGCTCAATTCTTTCTCATTTTTAGTATTACAACAGACATTGATTCTTTGTTGGACGCACCATTTAAATTTTTTGCCAGACAATCGAATGCATATTAAAATCTATTAATTTTCAGTATAGAGAGGATTTCAATGACCTTTTCTCTAGTAACTCATACCTGTGAAGACTTTAATTTTCTGTCTTTATAATTTTGATAGTCCTTTTTTTCTGACTGCAAGTTCGATCCTTTCAAGTATTTACTTTAAACAGTTTTATCTCTTCTTAATTAAACCGGAAGCAAAGCAAATCTGTGAATAAATCTAGTGTGTCATTGAAACGCTCCTTTTCGCAGGTCTCTGGTGAAGTAAATATTAAATGAGAGGTCTATTTCAGTTTAATTGATAGATTCCGCAGTTTGTTGCCTTTGAACTTGAAATCTCGTAGCGACCTAACTTTTTACTTACCCTACATCTATTTTATTAATGACCTTGATGTATCACTCATTGTGATTTCGAAAATCACTCGGATTATAAACCCTTTCT